AATATATATTTTTAACCTTTAAGAGTTGACACATGGTTTTAATGATGATGACAAAACCTTGTCGAAACGTTGTACATTTGCTGTCATGTTAAACTTATATTAAAGTTTTTCTTCATTACCCATTTAAGCCGTCTCCAGCCATTATTAGTCTCAAAGTGGGTTCCTCGTCATCGAATAAGACATTTTAAATAAGATTTTTGTCAGTTAAGATGAATATTTGTGCTGTTACTGAGAGGAACACAATTACTTCAATGCACATGGAAAAGTTTTATAAACAATTAAGTATACTGAAGAAAATTTAGTGGGGCTCATGTAGTCTGCTCATAGAACTCGCGCCACTCAGGTAGGATGTCAGAAAATATTTTGCCACAGAAAATGACTAAACAGCTAGAGTTGCAATACCTTTTAAGCTGAGGTTTTGAACTTCTAGTACTCACCTTCGGTTGTGCAAGCTGTTGATGTTCTAGACATTACATCTGCAATAGCTATCCATCAAAAGATTCCTGATGCTTCACCTGACCATCAGAACTGTCTCTTACCTTTTACTCCAATATTTCCTCATTGTACATGGCCAGATAAGTGCTTTAAGGTCTTTCCTCCTCATTGACTCAGTTGAAGTAATATAAGACAGCATTCTCATTTCCTCATTGTACATGGCCAGATAAGTGCTTTAAGGTCATTGACTCAATCGAAGTAATATAAGACAGCACCCTCATTTCCTCATTGTACATGGCCAGATAAGTGCTTTAAGGTCATTGACTCAGTCGAAGTAATATAAGACAGCACTCTCATTTCCTCATTGTACATGGCCAGATAAGTGCTTTAAGGTCATTGACTCAGTCGAAGTAATATAAGACAGCACTCTCATCCTCCTCTGATTCATGGTCAAACCAGCATATGAGAGGTTCATTTGTAACATGTGGACATACCTTTCCACTTCTATAACTCGTATTTGGATGAATCAATTCGCTAAAGTAAGAGATAATTACCTGTTGAACTCGAGCAGAGCTACTTTTGTGTGCCCGTAATCATACCCACAGCACCTCTTCTGTTGTATGGTATCCTTTTTCTAAGTGTTGCATGTCAACTACTGCAGACCTTAATCCATCTACATATTCATGTGGAGATTGTGAGAAGTATGCTCTAGGGGAGGACCAAACATAACATCTAGAGTGAGCTGTATTTCCCACCAAAATATGGGCATATTTGGTGAATAACCTATCAATATCTGTTAATTTGTTCTATAAGGTTGAACAGTGTTTAGATTAGTGATCCAATAAGCTTCTTATATTTCTCTATCAGCTTTAGTTTTGAGTCCTGTTTCAATACTGATGAGAGTAACATCGTTAATGGAATGACCCGGGTTGATTAAAGTGTTGAGCAACAGTGAGATCTTTCTCGGTGTTAATAGAAGATTTATGGTTGTTGAAACTTTCTGTGTATGTTTGTGTATGTTCGACATATTGGTGATTGCATTTTTTACACTGTATAATGTAAATGGCATTTTTTGTTTTGCAAATTATTTCTTTGAATATTTTAATGTTTCTTTGGTTGTGCTTGTCAAAAAATGAGTCATTAGTTTTTATGAACTTGTAGGTTTTACAACGAGCTTTATTGCACGGATGACAACCATTTTTATTGGGAATAATTCACTTTTGTGTGAACAAGGATATATTTTAGAGTTCTGCTTTTTCGAAAGGAGACAACGGGAACTTCAGGAAATATCTGTTTAAAGCGATCATTCAGTTTTAAGAAATGAAAATGTTTTTTCAAACATCATGAAACATTTCTGAGCTTAAAGTGATAGGTAATAATAATAAGATGAATTCTATTTGAAACTTTAGTATTGTTTTGTTTTAGGATGTTTTTCCACTGAGTGTTGTTAGCCTTTTCAATTTGTCTGTAAGTTTCTGTATCTTTATATCCTCTTTGTAACATGGTTTGTTTTAGATCCTTGTAGTGTTTTCTGTAGTCTGTTTCATCTGAGCATATTTTCTTTATTCTAATAGCTTGACTGTTCCGTTTAGTGTGAGCAGGGTGACAGCTTTTATAGTGAAGGTATTATGGTTTGTCTGTAGGTTTTTTTGTACAAGTTGGTGTGTAACATTCTATCCTTTAAAAAAACAGTGACGTCAAGAAAGTTAATTTGGGTAGGCGAGGAATCAATGGTAAACTTGATTATTTTGTGAAAGGAGTTTGCATATGAGATAAATTCTTTAAGTGATCCAAGACCAGCTGTCCAAATGAAAAATATGTCGTCCATTTAATGTTTCCACGTATGAGGTTTTTCAGGGCTTAGTTGTGAAAGCTGGTTTTCAATATGACTTAAAAATGTTGGCTAATTGAGCACCATTTTGGTACTAATTGTACTACC